TGAGCATGGAGGGACCGCAACTGGCTTGCCCAGTTTCTGCCACTGCCTTGGCGCATGCTTGGGCTGCCAGCCTCCCCAAGGACATGATATTTTTCTTCTTCTTGTCAGCTGTCGCATCACGTGAATGTGTATTGTCTTGGCAGGATGATTCCATGATTGCTTTCAGCTCTATACCATGGATGAACCTTTGCTGGGTTGTAGGATTTCTATGGCGATGATGAGTCCATGACTTAGTGGTTTCAGGCTCAACATTGCTGTGCTGTGTGCACAAGTTCCAGTCCATGTGTGTGCTCTTACCTGCTAGGTGAGAGTTGCTTGATTAATGGAGGTATCATTTAAGAAATTGAGTAATGTTGGCCTTGCTGGCATTCTGCAAATAGTTACGGAGCCCTGAGACACAGTTCTTCTGGCTCTCACATGGCTACTGTTCACCATGGTTTCACCCGGCGCTGGAGCTTCTGGCCAGGCAGACCTCCGTGGAGCCAGTCAGAGCTCAGGCTAGTCCATGCAGGTTTTGGAAGGTTAAGGAAGTGCTGAGTTTGGAAGAGGCCTGCACGTTTCTCCCTGCAACGGTATGGCATAAGGGCAATCCCAGGAATGCTCAGCTGTAGCGGATGGTAATTGCTGCCACAGCCGACTGGCTCTTTGTCCTTCTCGAAGACGCCAGGAATGTGGTGCTGGTGAAGAACTGCAGTTAGCTAGTCGTGCCTGTTGGAGAAGGAAGTGCTGGAGATGATTCGACTCTGAGTGAGAGTAAGGGATCATTGTTCCTGGGTTCTGCAGGATTCTCAGAGCCCTGCCATCTTCGGTCCCATGGCTTGTGCTTGACAACAAGAGGAAGTGCCTTTGGGAGCCAGCTGGCTGGCGGTGTGCACAGGACCTCTGACCCCGGGCTTCTTGCCCACTTGGCCCCTTGTCTGCAGGGCAGGCTGGCACCTACTCTAGACTGGAGGCTTCAGGCTTCCTTTACGTCCCCGTTAGAGTGGAAGAGTGACTGGTCCCAATGTCTGCCATCGTCTTTGTCATCCGGAACATTTGGGAAGCATGGTCACAGGAGGGGCTGTGCTCCGAGGTGTCCTGCTCTCAGTTCCCTTGTGAGGTCTGCACTGGACTTGGAGAAAAACGGCCCCAGAATGGGTAGGGGCAGGACTCCGGGTGGTCGTGGCTGGGGCTCGAGGCAGCATGGATCCTCTGGTGCTCTGCAGTGGCCCTGGTCTGTTGCCTGAGAGCCACACAGTGGCCGAGAGTCAGCTCTGTCCTAGTTTCTCTTTTTTTTCATTTTGCCACAAGACAGAATTGTATCACACATCTCCAAAACGAGTAAAATGGCATTTCAGCTTCTTGTCTTTATAGACTCTCTGAACTTTAGGAAAGATCATTCTGGTCCCTTTTCATTAATAATGAAAACCAGGGGGCAATAAAATGTTCTTAATGTGAGCATGGCAGGAACAAGGAGCGGTAAGGGGTGAAGGGTGAGGGTCCACAGGTGTTTCTCGAAGCTGGGGGAGCTCAGAGCGCTGGAAAGTGGGGGCAACTGCAGAAGAGCCCTGGTTCTCAGATCCCTGAACTGCCAGCGTCTGCTAAGCCCTGGGGTTCAGAGGACCCCAAAGAAGGTTGCACTTGTCATGGAACAGTGTGTTTGCAGGAGAGCGGAGAAATCCAGCATGCTATGGTTCTGGTCAAGTTTTCAACCCAGTGGCAGCTGCTTCCTTGTGAGAGAGTTAGTGGGTGTTTGAGAAACCCATGGTGACTGTGGCCATTCTGGACTCAGGCCCCATCTTGGAGAGGTTCTCTCTGAGGATTTTGGCTGCTCAGGGGGATGCTCGGGCTGAGAATGAAAACCCCCCTGAACAGTGACTCTCTCAAAGAGCGGTGAGCCTACTCTGTCTTCACTGTTTCCGCCTAAAAATGAACTTGCTCTAGATGTTGGATTTTGCATCTGGCATGCAGGGAAAAGTGGCTGGAGGAGAAAACGGAGGAGAGGCCTATCTGGGACTCTGCTTGGCCAGCTCCTCAAGGTCAAAGTGAAAAGTCCAACTGCCTCAGCAGTCCCAGAGCTCTTTAGTGAGAGGCAATTCATGTCGATGAGTATGTCCCACCAGGTGAAGCCGTCTGTCCCTTCCCAAGTTGGTTTCTTAGACGTGAACACTGGGTGTCACTGCACAGCCTATGGAGGGAGTGGGGAAGTCCTTGCCAACCCCAGGACCCGTAGTAGATGAGACTGGTAAATTTATATAAACACAACAACGTCTGCATGCCACAAAACACCATTAACAAAGTCAAAAGAAAAATAAATCAGAGAAGACATTTGCAATTAGTTTCACAGACAAAGGGCTAATATCCAGCTATATAAAAGTCTCTCTAAAGTGATAAGGGAAGAGAAAAGCAAGTTGAAAAGTGGAGAATACACAGTACACCGAAGGGGAAATGTTGATGAAAAGATACCCAGTCCTCACGTAGAATCAGATCAATGCAAATGACAACTGGAGCACCGTCCTGTTTTTCTGCTGTGTGTTGGCAGGAGGCTCTGCACTGAGTGACACGTCATGGCGTGGCTGTGGGGTGGCCCTGCCACAGGCTGGGTGTCTTGTGGGGCCCCCAGAAGTAGTGTGGCAGCATCTCTCAAAGATGCAAGGGCACAGACTGGGACCATCCCCAGGAGTTCCCAGACTTGGAGTGCACGTGCTTGTGTGGGAGATGGCACATGTGTGTTTCGGGGATGGCAGTGGGTGTGGAGTAGGAGGGAACTGAGGTGAGCTGAGTGCCCACTGGTAGGGAGGGCAAGTGGAATATCGTCAGCTGTAGAAAACAAGAAGCTCCAGAAATGAAGGACTTGAGAAGAAAAATAAGACATGCCTGTGTCGCCTTAGATGGGCGTGCAAGTTCTCAGGAAAGATAAACTGGAAACGATTAACAGGGGCTGCTGGTGGATGAAGCCTTTTTGTCATAGACTGACCTGTTCTTTCTGATGCAAGCCATATATGTCTAAAACCAATTCAAAAAATATAAAACAAAAATGGTAGCTGGTGGCTGAGGGAGAGGCTGTATGTTGGCCCCGGTTTTATGACTGAGACTCCAGAGCTGCGCCACCTGGCGGAATCTTGTGTGGAATCCCCAGACAGGGAGCGGGCTGGTGGCCAAGGAGAGGCTCCAGGCCCCCTGTCTCTCTCTGTCCTGTCTGCCTCCCGAGGGTCCCATCAGCAGCCGAGGGGCAGCGGTGTCTCCTTTGCCCATTTGGGGGGTCAGGCGTGCATCCCCCTGGTCAGGCATGCCACCTCCTGCCCTTAAAGAACGGCCCCTCCTCTCCCCTGGTCATGAAACACCAGGCATGGCAAGTACCTCGGAGAGCTTAGAGGCACAGGTGCAAGGTGACAGTGGAAGCAGACAGCTGTCTGTAGTGCGTCCTTCAGCTTCGCTCCTTCCAAGAGTTTCCGGAATGCCACCGTTCTTCACACTTTCCCCGAGGCTCACCTCCAGGGCCCAGAATCCTTCTCACCACAGCATGTATCATGGGTGCCTTCTGGATAACTTCCCGTTGGCACTGTGGTCTCATTTCCCAGCTGGTCTGTGTCCCATGCCATCGAATGCTAGGGAGCAATGGCCTATGCCCCTGCTGATGGCAGATCCTCTGAGAGGAGGCAGAGCGCCTGCCGGGTGGCCTGGAGATGGCATTCGTTGGAGACAGGGCCTTCCCAGGAGCCCCTGAGAATCGGATGAGATTGCAGACAGGAGCACCGTCCTGTTTTTCCGCTGTGTGTTGCCAGGAGGCTCTGCGCTGAGTGACACGTCATGGTGTGGTTGTGGGGTGGCACTTTGTGAACGCGACATGGAAGCATCTGAGGAAGGACGCTTTCCTCTCCCCCGTGCAACTGAAGCTACATGCAGGAGTTGGGACACGGCGGCATGCGCCGTTCGTCTGCTCCTCCAAGAAGACTGGCCACCCGCTTCCGTGCCTCAGCAGCAGCAGCAGCAGCACTCCCAGACGGGCTTCCCTCGCCGCCGGGTCTCTGCGGGCCCCAGTCCCTCTCTACCTCGTGTCCTTGCAGCAGCCTTGCCCCGGCTCTCCTTCCCTGCAGCCTCCCACTCCGACTTGCCCCAGAGCCGCCCTGATGCTGCTCTCAGATCATGGCGCGCCCTTGTTCAGGTCCTCCGGTGACTCCCCACCTCGTATGAAGTAATCTTTGGGTTCCTTGACACACTGTCCACCTGGCCCTGCCTTTTCCACCTCTTTCCTGCTCGCTGCAGCCTCCACTGCTCCTCCAGTTTGCCTGGCGTCTCTGTTCTCCTGAGCGCCTGTTTTTGGAGGGTGGTGCAGCCCTTCTCCCTTGGTTGGGCCACTGAGGGATGCTGGGTAGGTCCACACCAACCTACCTTCTCTCTTGCTTGCTTCTCCCTGGCCCCTGGGACCATGGGTCTCCTCCGAGGCCCTGCTGACCCCTGGCTCCTGCCACCCCCTGCTCTCACATACCTGCTCGATAGATGCTATCATTCACTGATGTCACCTGGCTCAGTCATTTGTAGACTTGTGACCTAACTGCTGGCTCAGTGGTCTAGTGAGGTCTAGTCATTAGGGTCCCACTCCCGTCCAGTGCACCATCCCCCACTCGGTCCTCTGGTGGTCCCTCACCTGTCCCTGGCATATGTGGGTGGACTTATGCTCATCTAAGTGTGTTTATGTCATCCTGTTTGGACTTTTGCTCCCTGAGGTGGAGGGCATGCTGTAGGTCTTCAGATCACCCTTGCCACCTACCTCTCCACTCTGGGGAACTTGTCCACCCAGCAGCATACAGTCAAGTCAGGTGACTGTCTGTCACATGGGAAGAGGAGTGGACAGGACTGAGCTGATGTTGCTGACAATCATTACTGTCTTCCTGAAGCTGTGAGTTCACATGCCTGTCATTGGAGGCCAGGAGACCGGGCACTGAGGCCCGTGTGCCTGCCCCTCCCCAGAGGAAGGACGCCATGTGCCTCTTCTCCTAACTCGCCTCCTTTTCCCATAGGCCCTGCAGGCTCCCGATGGCGAGATTACGGCGCCTTGGCCATCATCATGGCAGGGATTGCATTTGGCTTTCACCAGCTCTACAAGGTGAGTCGTCCTCCCAGCAGCTGTGGGTGCTGTGCCCCTGCTGCCCTTTGGCATCAGCCCCCTTCCTATGGGTCCTTGGCTCGCCTGTGTAGAGGTACTGCCCCGCGGAGCAGGTACTCAGCCCTGGAGCACAGGGGCAAAGGAGAGGACAGGGGAGACGGGGGAGTCAGGTCCCCACCCGGCTGGGGAGGATGGGCAGGCCCCACCTTCCCCCTGTACTCAGGTCTCTGCTCGCAGGACATCGTGAGGTCCATCTGATGACAGTGTCAGGTTCTTAGAATAGTGCTCACACCTGGTAAGCAGTGTGTGAGGTTCAGAGAGAATGACATCAGGTTGAGAGCGTGGCCACTAGGCCCAGCTACTCGTGCTGAGCCTTGACTCTGCTCCTTGGGAACTGTGTGACCACAGGCTCAGGCCTTAGAATAAAATGGGGGTGGTAGCCCTCACCTCATGAGGTTATCGGGATCCATGCTGCTTTGAAGAGGGCTTGGAACCATGCCTGGCATAGAACAGTGCCGTTGTTCTGCCAGTGTTTAATACCAGCTTTGAGACCCTCAGTACAAGCATATTATGGGTTCTGTTCTTTTCTCTTTTATATGTGTGTTAGCATCCGTATAAATCTAGGGTTTTCCCAGGCTCCCCAAGTTAGCCCTCAGGATCCAGAGTTCATTGTCTACATAGAACTGCAGGCACACCACACGAACATTGACATCCTTGATGCCAGTGCAAAGCCCAACTTTGATTTGAAGTAAATGAGTCTTTTCTAGAAGTGAAAGAGCCAAGGTAGGTCCCCAAATCTGCTGATCCTGGAGAGAAACCTCTTTTTCTACTGGGGCCACCAGCTCCTCTACCCCTTATTGGTGATTTTTTTTAAAGGACCTGAGTGAATACCCAGACATACCGTTGTAACTTCTAGCACGTGAAACATGTGTTTTGTAAATACGTAGTTGCAGGCTGGGCTAGTGTGTCTGCTCCTTCCCTTGTCATTTCTGATCTCAGAAATGGAGTTTTTAGTTGGCTACCTGTAGAATTTCTTACCTTTCATACTTAGGACATTTTCAACCTGAAATGTGAGGCTACCTTTGATGAGTTTCGGCTCAGTTGTGGGCAATAACTCCTGCCGTGGCTAAAAAGCACTTTGCGAAATAGAAAATGTGTCTATACATATGTGAAATAATGGTTTTCACTTAGGAGTCGCTCCTGAAATGAGTTCCCACAAACCCCTTGTGAGAGACTTTCTTTTCCTTCCCCAGTACAGAAACCGTAATGGAGAAGTTTCCATCCTTCTTACCTGGGACCCAGATAGATTAAGAACCAGCATTACCCCTCGGTAACCCTAACCAGGCCTGCACTGACTGACTCTGTCACCACCCATTAAAGTTGGCAGTGGGTCTCTCCCTCTTCACCTGGGATGCTGTGTCCCCATGAATCCTTACCTGGAAGGGCTTGTCCCCATGTCCCAAGTGGCTACATTCCAGGGCATGTGTTCTTTCATGTGCCACCCTCCTCCATGCCTTCACACCCTCACTCCAAGATCCATAACCAGTTACCAACCATGCCCACCTTCTTCCTAAATGGTCCCTCATCTGATCCTGGGTCCTAGGTACCCTTGATTGGTTGCCCTGAAGCATCAACTTTCTTATTCCCAAGAGCCAGTTTCTTCTGATCTTGCTCCTCCCTCTCCCTTCTGCCCTGTGTTTTAGTTTGGGGAGAATTTGAAGGAAGTTTGTTCTGAGGATTCAGGCTTAGTTTAGAAAAGACAGAGGTGACCTCTTCCGGCAGCCTTGGAATACCCATATATGATCCCTAGTGAAAGAGCCGAGGGGTCCAGAAATTTGGTGATTTTCCTTTAGTTTCTCAAGTAATTTTCTGTCTGTTTAACGTCATTTTTTTCCGAATGGGTGATCCATTCACAGGATGCTGTGAGAGACTCCTAGCGCCCTCCTTGCAGGAGCAGTTTCCTGAATGTCCTTCCACAACTTCATCTTATAACTTTAGAGTCGAATTTAAAACTTTTTCTTACAAAACTATTGTGGCATCTTTAAGAAAGATAGATAAAAGGACCCACAAGTTTGCCATCACAACAGATGAACTTGATTTTCCACGTCCACGTTCCCTCCTGGTCCTTGACCTTATTCAGGCAGAATTTTTACATGGTTGTCATCGCAGTCTCGTAACTTTTTCAAATATCTTGTTCATTTATGGTGTTTACTTAGAGTTTCCAAAACCCAGGGATGACAGAAAGTTGGGCGGCGGAATTCGAGAGGTTGCTGAGGGGTAACCCTGAGCACACACCCAGGCCTCACCCACCCTGCTTCTTGTAGAAATACCTGCTCCCCCTCATCCTGGGCGGCCGAGAGGACAGGAAACAGCTGGAGAGGATGGAGGCCAGTCTCTCTGAGCTGAGTGGCAGCGTGGCCCAGACAGGTAAAGATTAATGACTCCATCAAGTCACCCCTCAAAGCCTTCTCTGAGCAGCCCCTTCTCTGCCCCCCCGTCTCCACTTTATGTGGTGACTTCATTTATCTGCTCTGAGAATCTGTTCACATTTGCAAATGAAGCCGCCGTCATTTCGGTTTAATTTGAAATTGCTTGTTTACTGTCGGCGCGGCCTCAATTAATTATGTTTTTACGGAAAGGCTCCCAACCTCAGAATATTAATAAGGGGAATAAAATGACAGCCTTTCTAAGGGCTGTAAAGTTCATTTTTAATTTCTGCTTCTATGAGGTTTTCAGGGGGGTTTTCGGTGATTTCCCCCCTTCCCTCTAAGAATCCAGCTCGGGGTCAAGAGAGTCTGTAATTACTGTGGCTCCCAGGACCCTGGCCACCTCCTCTGTTACCGACTCCACAGGGCTCGCGTTCATTACCCAGTGCCCCACTGATGGCCCAGATTAGCTGGGACCTGTCGCGCCAGAGGTGGCTTCTCTCCTTTATAAACTTGTTTACTAGAAGGAGGCTCTGAGTCTGAAAACCTGAGCAAGGCCAGCAAGCGAGAGAGCCACTTGTCCTAGGTGGGAGCCTGTGTCCCCTGGGGCACGTTTGTGAAGCCCTCAGATGTTCTCTGGAGCACTTGTCCTGCTGGTGTTTGCTCCTAGGAGGCTGACATTGGCTGCATCAAGGCCCCAGCAGGCCATGTGACATGGGGAGTTCTTCGGGCAGCCTGGGAGTCGGGTGGGAAGAAGCAGCGGAAACAGGATCTGCAGTTTCACCACTCCTGGATATCACGGAGACCTGAGGCACCTCCCAGGAGTGAAGTTGCACAAGGACACGGAGGCCCAGGAGATGAGAGATGCAGGTGTCTAGGAGCTGGAGAGCTGAGCAAATCATAGCAGCTGTAATTAGAGGGGAGAGGTTCTGGACGGATATACTGTTGACCACGGACAACTACACAATGGAAAGATAAAGTAGAAATACTAGAGGTTAGATACAGTGCAGGCAGATTACCCGGAGTGCAGATAAATTAGATGGATTGCGGGGCTGGGGGTGTCAGCAGATAAATTAGACAGAGTGGGAATACAGGCAGCTCCTAGGTGTGTGGACTGAGGGAGGGATGGTCTGTGTGGTCCGTTAACAGCGTCGTTCCTGCTTTCTCCTCGCAGTGACTCAATTGCAGACCACCCTTGCCTCTGTCCAGGAGCTGCTCATTCAGCAGCAGCAGAAGGTCCAGGAGCTTGCCCATGAACTTGCCGCTGCCAAGGTACTTGTCCCTGCCCCTCGGACCCCTCCAGGTCTAGGCCTCTCCTGTGTGGCTCCTGTCCTTTGTGCCAGCCACAAAGGCTTTCCATGGACCTGAAGGCTTTCCATGGACCTGGCTTTGCCTAGTCGCATGTGGGTTATACAGCAGTGGCCAAGGCTGCCCTTTCCTTATAGAGAAAGGAGGTCAGCGCTTGGCAGTCAGTGTGGCTTCACCATTGAGGCCGTCATTTCTGCCTTGGTGCCACCTCCCAACAGGAGGGAGGAAAATCCACCCTCTGTCTGTGGGCATCTTGTGGTGGTCACGTCTTCACAGCTCCAGAGGCCATCAGTGTAGACATGGAACAGCCTCCACATGCTTGTCGGGTTGCAGGTCATAGCATTGCCAAGAGGGGTTCCTAGAACAGAGAGGGGAGAAGCGTGCATGCGTGCACGGTCAGGTTAACGGCCCCTGCTTCATCCAAGACACCGTGCTGCAATGGCAGGTTCTCCAGAGCCAGGTTTCAGGAGTTAGAGCCAACTCCGCGGGACTGAGGTGTGGGCCTCACTGCCCAAAGCTGAAGCAATGGGCAGGGTCCGATTCTAGAATCAGATTGCCTGGTCTAAAGTCCTGCTCTGCCTCTTGTCAGCTATGTGACCACAGGCAAGTCTCCTCATCTGTCACATGGAGCTAAAATAGTACCTACTTTGTTGGGCTGTTGACATGCTCAGAAGGGTGCCTGGCTCCAGCCAGCTCCCAGGATCATAGGACGTGAGTTCTGTGGGTGGGTGACAGGGGTCATCCCTGAGGCAGGATCTTGGACAGACTGGGCCCAGGAGACAGTGGCCAGGTGGTTCCAGAATGTCCACAGGCTTTTCTCTGCCCCCTACTCTGGCTGTGTGGCCAGTGGTTGCTGCGTTCTGGCTGCTTCCATGCAGCCTGGCCGTAAGGAATCTCTCTCAGAGGTGCTCTCCCGGGGAAAGGCCCACCACTACCCGCCCCCTCTCTACCCAGTGTACTATCAGCTTTGAGCCAGTGCTCAGATCGTTTGCAAAAACCAGTGAAATGAGGCTGGGTGCAGTGACTCATGCTTGTTATCCTCATGCTTTGGGAGGCTGAGACAGGAGGATTGCTTGCACCCAGGAGTTTGAGACCAGCTTGGACCAGCCTGGACACCGTAACAAGGCCTTGTCTCTATAAAAGATAAAATTTAAAAATTTAGCTGGGTGTGGTGGTATGCGCCTATAGTCTGAGCTACTCGGGAGGCTGAGGTGGGAGGATCGCTTCAGCCCAAGTATTTGGGTCTGTGGTGAGCTGTGATTGTGCCCACTGCACTCTATCTAGCCTGGATGACAGAATGAAACCCTGACTCAAAACAAAACGAAACGAAATGAAATGAAATAGGAATCTGTCCATTTCTGACAGAGTCTGAGTGCCACTTGCAAAGAGCGTCCCCGAGAAGCCCCTCCTTGAACATTCATCCCACACACGGGGTGCTGCCGGCTCTGCCGCCTCGGGTGGCTGTGGGGCTGGGGCTGGCTGCAGCCCCCTGCATGCTCCCTGGCGGCAGCTGGCTCTGAAAGCACTAGGCAGGCCAGTTATGGCCCCTGGCCTGCTCTCCCTGGTGAGCCTTTGGGCCTGTGGCCTGCCGATGGCCAGAAGCCATTCCGGAAATTGGAAAACTGTTTCCAGGCCTCACGCGTGAGATGAAGGCCACATGTTGCATGCAGGAAGCAGCAGGGCCCGGGACGCTGCCTGGTGTGAGAGCGGCCCCTCCGGGTTCCTGAGCTGGTCTTGCTGCGGCTGTCCCCTGCCCACGCCAGGCCCTGTCCTTCACTCCCGAGCCGTGGCAGGGCCCCTGGCTTGGCAGCTAAAGCTGGTGTGTGAGGATGTCGGTTACCCCATAAACCCAAGACTCGGAGCTGTGTTTTCTCAGCTGTAATGCAAGTTTTTATTTCTGGCTTCCAAACTCCTACTGGAGCACTGTAAAAAATTAAAAAGAAGCGCTTTAAGTAATTAAAAAACCTACATAAAACTGAAGGCTGTGAGTTTTCTACAACTGTTTTTTAAAGAGACTGGCTAAAAAGCCCCAGATGTCAGATTTTATTTCTAAATCCTGGCATCTGGCACCATATGCCTTTGGAAATCTGAGTCCTTTGTAGGCCTGTGAGTGGAAATTGCTCCCTTGTTAATGGACTGCTGTAGCTTTCAAGGTCTCAGAGAAGCCAGAACAGTGGCTCCTGGGTCCTCGCTGTCTGGTGGTCTGGAGTAGGGACCCTGAGGGGACATGTGTGAGGGTGGCGGGTGCCCAGGCTTTCCTTCACGAGACCTGCGGCCTCTCCCAGGGACTTTTCCCTCAGAAGTGTGCCCAGCAGGCAGGCGTCCCACCCTGCATCAGAGGCGGCTCCGTAAGCTGGCCCAGTGATCTGCAGATGGGCAGGGGACAGCCAGGGACCGTCCCCTCTGCCAGCCTGGTGAGTAGTACTGGGAGAGCCTTGCACTGTTAACCCATGCACTGGAAGACAACCTGGAGTGGACTTCACCTGGGTGGCACGGGCCTCTGCAAGACATCACGTCTAGGATTGTCCTCCATAAACACTTCACAGGCAGCTTGACCACGGCAGCTGCCGCTGGGGGCCTCTGTTTTGGCTGTCCTCTTCTTCTATCCCAGCAAGGTTTGCCAGAAGTAAGGTGTGGCTCTTGGGAAGCAGTGTCAATTCCAAGGGAAAGATGTGCATGGAAGGATGCTGTTTGTCCGAAACGGTGGTGGCTGTCCCTCCCTGGACCCTTTCCGGGGAAGGAGGTGAAGTCACGTCCTGTGAACAACTTCTCTCTGCTGGGCCGTTGCAGTCATCCCAGAAGAACAGTGGCGAGTGGGTGGCAGGGCCCACAGGCAGCTCTGAAGTCAGTGGGGCACAGTCTGGGGTGTCCTCTGCGGGCCTGAGAAGCCACAATGACCCGACCTCACTGAGCCAGGAGCTGGCAGTCTCTGAGAGGTGTGGGAAAGCCGCTCCGTGGTGCCTGTCTTCCAGGTCTGCCTAAGCTGAGAACTGGGGGATGGGGTGGCCAGGCACTCAGCTGTGCTGGTCTCCGCCAGGCTCCGCGGCGGCTTCCAGGTGCCAGGCTCAGGCCCCGCTGTTGTCAAGGCAGCCTCCTCTCAGCCCCTCACTGCCACTGTGTTGTGTGGTGGCTTCTTGGGAGCAGAGGGGGGTGCGGTGGTGGCAATAGCTGGTATAGAAATGGCCTGGGTTTATTTTGTTGCTTCTTGCTTGAATGGACGTTTCAAACACCCAGCGAAGGAAGGGCGTCGCCTGTGAGCCCACGTGCTCCCTTCCTCACTCTGACTGACTGTATCTGCCACCCACCCCGGGCTGTCTTCAAGTGGAACCCAGATGCCTCGCACTCCGTACCAAATACTTCAGCATGTCTCTGAAAGACGCAGACTTGGGTTGTGTTGTTGATAGTTTATTTTACGTAGCCATAATGCCCACAAACATGTTGTGATTCCTTGTCATCAGATAACCCAAACAGATCTGTGGGAACGTTTATTTTAAGGGTGTCGTCATTTAAAGGGAGAGACGCGACACGCAGATCCCCCACGGGCAGTGGCAGAACCTTCTCCCTGGGCCATCAGAGCAGACCCAGAAGGTCGCATGTGACGCCCCCGCCCAGACAGGCGGGAGGGCCTGGCTGCAGCCTCTGCCATGGCTGAAGGGAGGCCCGCCCTGACCCCTGCTCCCTGTGCTTTGACTTTCAGGCCACCACATCGACCAACTGGATCCTGGAGTCCCAGAATATCAATGAACTCAAGTCGGAAATTAACTCCTTGAAAGGGCTGCTTCTAAATCGGTAGGAGGGAAGGCTGGGGACCTCGTTCTGGCCAGGCCTGCGGCAGAGCCTGGGAACGCCTGGGCCAGCCTGGCAGTCTTGGGCTGGGGGCACGTCTCCCCAGGGGCCTCTGTCTGTCTGACTGATTCAGGCATTGAGTTTGGGGACCTTGTGAACATCTACTTTCCCTCCCCAGTTCGTCCCCTTCCCACTCCAGGGCTGGCCCCACAAGGGTGACCCCACGAGAGTGTTGAAATACACACAGCTTCCCAAACCTGTCAAGGCTTAGTCAAGGACGGCTCGAGCCTAAACGCAGGGTCCTGTGAGCAGAGAACTTCCCGGCTTGGCCCATCCTGAAGCAGGCGCTCCAGGAAGGCCACCCTCCTCCTCCCTGCGCTCCAGCGGCCTCTCTGTGACAGACTTGTTACAGAGAAAATCCTTGGGGGGGGCCAGGGTCTTTTTGCCCACTTAGTGTAAGGCATCCCACAACTGAAGGCACAGGCAGAACCAGTTCCCACCCCCATCACCAGCTTCTTGGGTGTCCCTCTCTTATCCTTCCACGGTGATAGCACATTGTCGCCAGTGCAGCCCTGAAGGTAGGGTGACCAAGGCGTCCTGGTTTGCCTGGGACTGTCTTGGTTTTCTTTTTTGTTTTTGTTTTTTGAGTAGGAGTCTTACTCTGTCACCCAGGCTGGAGTACAGTGGCACTCTCACAGCCACCGCAGCCTCGACCTGCTGGGCTCAGGCGATCCTTCTGCCTCAGCCTTCCAAATAGCTGAAACCACAGATGTGCGCCACCATGCCCAGCTAATTTTTTGATTTATTATAGAGAGGAGGTCTCGCCAAGTTGCCCAGGCTGGTCTCAAAACCCTGGGCTCAGGCAATCCTCTTGCCTCTGCCTTCCAAAGTGCTAGGATTACAGACGTGAGCCACTGCACCGAGCTTGTCTTGGTTTTCAGATGGAAAGTCCAGTGTCCAGGAGTCTCTCAGTCCTGGGAACTGTGATGGGGTTGTCCTCCCGGATTGGCGCCTAGGTGCCTTGTGTGGGGTGCTCTCATTCCCTGCTGGGCCCAGGTTTAATAGGAACTGTGTGAGTTGGGGTGATGCACCAGGGTGGGCCTTTTGCTAGTGTCAAGCATGGGGGTGCAGAGGGGTCTTGTGGCTCCAGCCAGAGCACCCTATTTTCCAAGCTACCCACTTCCTGGTCCTCCCTGAGGAAAAGAACATGTCCTGGAAAGAGATGTGGCTGTGTACAGGGAGCGGGGGCCAGAGGGTTGACATTAGGAGAGACCCTTCCTCTTCCCGAATCGAAATGCCTTTGAGGCGAGGGGGATATGGAGCACAGGCCGTTGGGAGACAGTGGGGCCAGGAAAACTGCAGATTGCATTTCTCATTAGCACTTGTGAAGCCGGAGAATAAAGCAGGCCTTGGCAGGTGCCCGCTGAGCAGGCCTTAGGTGGGAGGGCTGATCCCCGGTGGGCAGGCTGGGCCCTCCTGGCCTGGGCAGAGATGGGTCTGCCCGTCGGAGTGCTCCGTCTCTGAGGCGCTGCCAAGTGGACCTGACCTCACAGGCCTGACCTGGAATTGGCTTTGGTCTGGGCTGGCTGCCGGCCCAGGAAGGGAACACGGGAGCGGAAGGGAGAGCTGGCTCTTCCCTGTCAAAAGTGTTGAGCTCAGAGGTTTTCTAGCAAAGTGCACTGACATTGCCCTTCTGGGTCTGATATCTCTGGCCACTGGCCAGGGGTCCCCACTGCCTTCTGCTAGGCCAAAGACCAGTCAGGATGAGGACAGCTGTCTAAGGTCCCAAGTCTTAGCCTTTTGGGTTCTCCGCCTTCTCCCTCTCCTGGCCACTGAGGAGGAGGCAGGACCATGAGGACACAGGCTATGGGCATGGCAGGCCCCAGGCCGGCTATCCAGCCGCTGCCAAGGCAGGCAGGCCTTGCCCAGGGCAGGGGCGCCTGGAGGCACCCTGGGTATAATGGGGCAGTCTGTGGCACAGAGGGCACTCCTGGCATCTGTCTTAGCGGATGGGACCTCCAACTGGCCTGGAGGCCTTGTTCCTAGTTCCTGAAGCGAGGGAGGGAGGCCCTGTCCAGCCCCCCAGGCTGGGAGAACTGGGCCCGCGGAGCCCCTGGGATCAGGGAAGGAGCAGCCCTGGGCGTGGGATCCAGATGCTGTCACCAACCTCCCTTCCTGCTTCCCCTGCCAGGAGGCAGTTTCCCCCATCTCCGTCGGCCCCGAAGATCCCCTCCTGGCAGATCCCGGTCAAGTCGCCGTCACCCTCCAGCCCCGCGGCCGTGAACCACCACAGCAGCAGCGACATCTCACCCGTCAGCAACGAATCCACGTCGTCCTCTCCCGGGAAGGAGGGCCACAGCCCCGAGGGCTCCACAGTGACGTACCACCTTCTGGGCCCCCAGGAGGAAGGCGAGGGGGTGGTGGACGTCAAGGGCCAGGTGAGGATGGAGGTGCAGGGCGAGGAGGAGAAAAGGGAGGACAAGGAGGATGAGGAGGATGAGGAGGACGACGACGTGAGCCATGTGGACGAAGAGGACTGCCTGGGGGTGCAGCGGGAGGACCGCCGGGGCGGCGACGGGCAGATCAATGAGCAGGTGGAGAAGCTGAGGCGGCCCGAGGGTGCCAGCAACGAGAATGAGCGGGACTAGGGCGCCCGGCCCCCTGTGCGCAGCGACCCTGTGTGGGCTCGTGGCCGCGGCCCTGGGGGCAGCCAGGAGCCAGGTAGGGGACGAGACGATCCTCAGCTGCCCTGCGGCCACATGGGAGTCATGTTCCTGTCCACCTGACCTCCTCTCATCCGGCTGCCAGCCCCTGCCCTGGCGGCCTTTGACCTTGACCTCAAGTCAGGCTGATGGCACCGAAGTCTCCAGGCTTGAGGCCGCCCAGCCTCCTCTCCCGGGCAGAGGTCTTGCTAGGGTGTGTTTGCTGAGTGTCTTGACTACCGTGACACCGCGCATGGCCAGAGCTCGAGCCTTCACCTGCCTCCCAGCTCCTCACGGAGGAGCAGCTGTGGTCCCTCCACCCCTGGCCCAGCCCTGGACCCCTTGGGCCCCTCCCCCAGCCCCACCTGCTCCGCTGTCCTCCCAGACAAATGAAACTGCACCGTGCTTCCAACCGCCTCGCTTGCTGTGTAACGGCCCCGCCCACCCGTGGCGAGACGCAACACTGTCTCCCACGAGCGGCTGGGCCTCAGGCCGCGTGACCAGCAGCCGCCTCATCCTTCCCGCCAGGAAACACGTGTCCGTTCGTGTGATCATGTATAGATTCCAGAATATAAGATAGGACTGTATATAATTGTAATAAATACGCGTTGCCACTATTTAACTCCTGCCTGTGGCTCCCTGTCTGCCCCCGGCTCCCTCGCCCGCAGTGGGTCTCAGCCCCGGGTCTCAGCCCTGGCTCCAGGTGGAGCAGGGACGGGCCTGGCCCAGCAGCCCCGCAGGTGGGCCTAGGGCAGCACCTACCTGGCCTGCTCCAGCAGGTTGCAGGACTGCTCCCCCAGCACTGGAGGGGCTTGTTCCCGTCCCTGTGACTGCGGAGGGCGACGCTTTCCCACCGCAGAAGGGACCTCGCATTACTGTCTGCAGACCTGCTGTGAATGTGGGGCGCTCTCCTTGAATGGATGAGTCTTTCCGGAGGGCTATGTGTTGTCCTGACTCCTCTCCTCTGGCTCTCGCTCTCCCTGCCTCCCTTTTAACCTTCTTGGAGCCTCTACCAGGCTTGGACTAGAAAGTGCTGGGCAGCCACTGCAGGTGGACCCTCCGAGGGGCCCCACCATGGCCTGCGGAAGGAGGAGGACACAGTGGCTGAGCTGCGACTTGGCTGTTTGTCCCAGGAGCCGTTCCCCTCCAGCCCGAGTCTCTCCCCACTTGCAGCAAGCCCTTCCTGACGCTCGGTCCCTTGACTCAGCCCTCCCGGCCCTCTGAAGGTGCAGCCGGGTCTGGTTTCTGGCCCGCACCTCACGGGACTCTCTGCAGCCCATGTTTCCGGCCACGTGCTCCCCAGGGAAAAGCAGGGCCCCGGCGGAGAGGGGCTCCCAGCCTCGCCTGGATGACAGGACCCTGCCTTGCCAGGCCGCAAGGGTCCTAGTGTCCTGAGCCAGACGGGCAGACTGAGATGGGCCAGAGGCCGCACCCTTCTCCTAGGCGAGTGACCAAGGGGCCTTGGGCCTTCACGGGTGGCACCACCTGGTCCTGAGGCCACGACCTCCTTTAGTTTAGTGCCCATTGGCCTTTTCAGAGGCCCCTCCCCCAGTGGGACCCGAAAGGCGGCTGGAGGGCGGGCACCCTGGGGCAGGAACGAGCCAGGGCCTCCAGGGCGGTGCCACGGGGGTGAAGCGCCAGCCGTGACCGGGGCCTCCCTGCCTCCATTCCTCCCTCGAGAGCCGGAGCATCAAGAACGAGAGTCCTTGTGTGGGGAGGCGACAGAGGCCTCACAGGGCGAATGTCCTCCCACCGAGGGGGTCAGTGGGCTCGCAGGTCCCAGGGCTCAGCGCGGAGGAGGAGAGAGGAACAGACACCTTGGCCCGGGGGCCTTTTGCCCTGCGGGTCCTGAACGCCGAATTCGGCTTCTGAGGACGAGAGTCTGGCGCGATTTCAGGGAGAGGAAAACCCCTCCCCAAAACGGCGTGAGTACTGCCTAATAAAGGCAGCTGCCGGACCAGGAAAACAGCCCTTGGAAAAAAAGCCTTTCATTAGAAAAATAATGCATTTCATCCAAATAAGGTAAAAATATTCGGAATGGGGCAGAAGTGAGCAGCAGGCAGTGCCTGTCAGGCCCTTTCTGGAAGGGAGAAGATTATTAAACTCAATTACAATGTATTTTTATAAAGTGTCTTTTAGGAAAGAACCAGCCAGAGCTGGGAGGCTGCGGCCGGTGCCCCACCTCCTGCCCAAGCCCTCCCCCCGCCCCCACCCGGGTCCCTCCCAGCTCCAGGCTGACTCGCCTCCACCTTGGGCAGGGCCCTTCCTTGGCGCTGGTGACACCTGGGGAGCACCAGGCGGTGGAGGAGCGTCCTGGGGGCTGTGCCTCCTCCGGGCGGAGGCTCCCAGAGCGCATCCCTGGACCCCGCTGGGGAGAGGGAGCCTCAGGGTCGGAGAAAGGGGATGCTGAGCTCACGCCCAAAGTGCCGGTTTTGTGTCCCCTCGGAGGAGTCCGAATCAGGAGTCTAGAAAAGCGAGCCTGCAGGTGGGGTGGGGTGAGAGACGCCCTCACAGCCCACCTTCGCCTCGAGCCCGCCGTGCCGCCTGCCCGCGCGCCCTCCCTCTCTGTGGAAACAAAGGCAGAAGCTCCTTTCGGTGTTGTGTGACCCGCTTGTCTGACCACAGTGAATCGCGTTTGTCCTTCAGGGCCCTCACGCCCAGGTGGAAGTGGAAGACTTTTCTAGAAGGCCCCACCGTGCCCAGCCAGGAGCACCGAGGCACGCGTTCTCCAGTCTGGGCCCACACCGCCCCTCTTCCCTGGATGACTGCCCGGTCCCTGCGTCTGCCCCTGCCCCTGCCCAGAGCCCCGAGGGAGGGGGGAGGCAGGAGCCATTCCCGGTGGGTCAGACTACGCCACCCTTGGGAGGCAACTTAATCCTTCACGTTGTTTCTTATTTGCTTAAACTGGTTTGAGGCCAGACAGGGCAGGTGAAAGTGCCAGTGAGGCCTGCAGGTGGGACTCCAGCCTCAGCCGGCAGAGACCTCCCCCTCTGGCCTCTGGCAGGAGGGTCCTGCCCTCTTCCTGCCCCCACCCCTCTGCTCTGCCCAGGTGTTTCCCACCCAGGGACCAGCCACACCTGGCCAAGGGGAGTCACACAGTGGACGCCTCCTGGGTGCTGTGTGGACGCACAGCTGCCGCCTGCTGTACACCTGAGCTGGCACGCGCTGACGCACACATGCACACACGCACGCGCGCACACACACACACACACACACATACGGCTCACTCACACGCAGGCCCAGTGGGCCATGACCCCCTGCGAGGGCCGCCTAGCCCCCACACCTGCCCACGCTGCCCACAGTGCAGACCACGGTTCTTGGACACTCTGTTTAATGCAAAAGGAGCCTGAAATCCCAACCAGCATCGAGGGGCGACTTCACCCAAATAGTAGTTTATCTCATCAGGTACTTGGAAGTTCATGTTCTGGAAGAGACAAGATGTATTCTGATTTCCTCAGGAGAGTACCTGAAACCTTTCCTTGCTCTGGGACAAATGCTGGAAGGCCCTTCTTTTAAGGGACAGGACCACTCAATGTCCCAGCAGCCCTGAGAGAATTGTGTCCGGGGCGTATGCCTTGTAGACGGGGCCCGGGGCCGGGCGTTCTTTGTGGGGAAACGCGCCTCCCTCCAGTGGCGGGCATCCTGGGCTCGGCTGCCAGCGCTGGGGTTGGCTTCTTGGAGCCACCTCCGGTCTGACCTGCCCCGGAGGACGTGGCGGCTCCTCCCAGCAGGGGCGGCCCAGGCCTGGCCTCCTCGTTCCCAGCGAAGTCCCCAGACACCCTGCTCACCGGAGGCCTGGCTGGGGGCTTGGGCCAGCAGTTCTGCGTCCCCCACCCCTGCCCTGACCCTGGGCCGAGGCTCCCTGTGGGGCCGGGCCACTTCTCATAAGCGTGGGTGGAGACTGCCTTTGTCCAGTGACCTGGAGACACTGCCTAGAGAGGGGGTGCCTTGTCACTGTGTCCAGGCGGGCGGGGCCGGGGCCACTTCTTGAGTGCCAAGGCCCGGCTTCTGCAGGTGACTCAGACCGTGGTAGCGCCCCAGCCGGGCCAGGTCTGTGGGAGGTGGGCGGGCCGTTGAGCTCAGCCCTGAGCCTGTGCAGCTGGTTCTGGCTCTTTCCAGGAGGTTACCAAACTCTTGAATTTGCCCCAGTTTGAGTGTAGGAGCCCCGCACACCACAGCTAATTAAATCGCAGAAGGAAAACATGTTTTATGGCATTGCCGAGGGAGTCCGGCGAGCCGCAGCAAGTGCCCCGGGGCCTGGATACCCCCACAGCCGCGGCCCCCTCCCTGGCGGCCGGGGTGAAGTGCAAGTGCCTGATGGGCGGGTGGGCTCTCCTCCGAGCCCTCCAGGGCAGAGCCTGGGACTTGGAGCCCTTGGCCAGCCAGGGCGCGGCACCCCATTCCTCCGAGACCCCTCTGAGAGGCCCCCGAGCCCCAAGCCCCTTCCCTAGGCTGGTCCTGCCCTGGCCTAGTCCGGGCCTCCCGCCCCCCGTGTGAGGGTCTGCCAGGTCCATCAGGACCCGGAGGGCCAGGGGGCAGTTTGGGGGTCTGGCCAAGGCCAGCAAACCGCCCGAGTCCCCATCCTCTTTCCCCTGGGTCCCAAGAGTGCGAGAACTGCCCCCACCGTGCCCACAGGGTGCCCCGCGGCCGCACCACCCACCCACCCGCCCGCTGAGGTGGGAACTTGGCTCCCTGCCTCCCCTCGGGCCCATGGGAGGCTGCCCAGCCCACCAGGGCCTGTAAAGCTCCAGTAATGGTTTTAATTTGTTGAACTTGTGTTTTATCCCATAAATTAGTCACTGTTTTATTTAACAGAATCGAGATATCCACAAACAATAGGCGAGTTCCAACTTGAACATTTTAATAAGACAGAAAAAAGTATATATTTTCGCGTCTGTTACAAACATATTTATGTAAATAGCCTGCGGGCCGCGTTCCAGGAGGAAAGAAGAAAGAAAAGGGTCCCCACGCAGGCCGAGCGGCTTCTTGGTGGGAATCGCTGGGGAGCCGGCTGGGGGAGTGTGCAGACGGGCGGGGGTGGGGAGGGTGAGGCTGGCCCCCGCCCCTGCCCAGCTGGTGCCTGTCTGTGCCGAGTCCAGCTGGGGGAGCAGCATGCTGCAGCGACTTAACCTCCAGCCCCTACGTCTACTGGCTTGGTGAGGACCGTGGACGTGGCATCCCCACGGCAAGGGCCCGATGACCCAGGAGATGCTCCCAAGCGTGGGAGAATGTGGTGGGCCCCACACACGCCCCTCCCAAGGCCCTGGGAAGGCGGGCTCTGGGCTGGCAAGCTGGGTTTCGGGTGGGAGGTGTTCTGGCAAACCTGGCCTCCGCCCGGGCTCCGGAGCTGCAGGGACGTGCCCCCGTCCCAGGCCTGCCTGGTGGGCTCCTCTGGGCTCTGGAGGGAGCCGTCAGCCACGGGGCCACCAGGCTGGCAGCTCAGGCTCTGGGCCGGTGGCTACAGACCCAGGAATCAGTCCCCTCTGGCTCTGCCACCGTGTGCTCCAGGCAGGAGCCGCGCCAGCATCCGGATCGGATCCGGGTACGCGCCGTTCCCAGCCCGGGCAGGTCCCTGCAGGAAGGAGGAAGGAGCGGAGGGAGGAGGCAGGGGACGGCCTGCCA